AGCTTACCCCCCCCCCCCCCCCCCACCTCCTACCCCCCAAAAAAGGAAACTTCTGAGTTCCTATGTCAAAAACATACCCAAATAAGTAGTATGTTACATTTTTGGATCCGTTGCTACAGTGTTTTGCATTGCCATTTGCACACCGGAATCGTGAAAATTATGTTTGGTATTGTATGTTCATCACATTTTGTCATGCATTAGGATGACTTTGGGAATTTTGTATTTCTCAAACCCAACTTTTGTTGCGCCTCAGGTATCAGATGAGATGCGCACGCGAATCATCGTTTGCCATAGATTGCAAGCCTTGTTGGATGTTGGGTCCGGTAAGCGGTCTCTTACTTTCCAATTTGAGGGTCATGGTACAACACACACAAACATGATTTCCAAAACTCCTTGTGCAAACAGCAGTGCAAAGCACTGTAAGTGCGACGACACTTCATCCCCATATTTATACAAGTTGGACACATTTCGTGGCTCTCGAATCTGTTTGTTGAGCTGGACACCACCTGTACTGCTGAATGGAGGAGCGGTGGCGTGCTTGTCGTTGGTGGAGTTTGAGGGATTTTTGGTCCAAAAAAGGAGTGAATGGATCATGATGGTACGTTTTGCTGCCGTCTTGACTAGATGGCGGCTTCGCATGCTCTTGATTCGTATACTGCTGCAGACTTGCTTGACCGCCTGTTCCAACATTTCTCACATTCTAGGCAACAAGCTTGCTGTCACTCGTAAACCATGACGCTTGTCTGTAATAGAGTATCGGATTAGAGTAAATAGGGACTTACTTCTTCTGTGCCATACTTTTAGCAAACCTGAGCAATGTTATAAAAAGTTCGTTGACTTTTTTTTGGCTCTCAGTCAAAATTTCAGACAGTAGATATGTAAATTAGGGGTTTTCCGTGCATCTGAACTTCCCAACTTCTTTGGGAGTGCGATTTGGCTTATTGGCAAGACTTTTCCAAAGTATGTCACAAAAAATATTTCAACCCCCTAGCAGAGCCCCCCCCCACTAACCCTATATCCGGGATCCACGTTCCGCCACCCCCTTGAGTGCAAAGCACTGTAAGTGCAGCCTTTTCCTTCATTACTTTGCAACCCACCTATGGGCCCTCCTACTTGTTGTTGTCAAGTTGATGTTGTCTATGTTTGGCCAGCTTCCCGTTGTGAAGTTCCCATGGATTCGACTCTCGTCGTGAACCCCAGACTTGTCGACTGGAGTTTCATGATGAGCCGTCCAATATTTCCGCTCGGGGTCATTCAGCTACTGCCGACATCGCCAGGAGACTCGACCTCCCGCCGTGATCAGAACGAAATCCGATGACTGTTTTTGTCAACTTGTACCGATATAGAGAGAGCGGGGAGATATTGAGATTGAAAGGATGCCCCAAGAGTTAGCACATGGACTTCATTGCAAAGATGTTCGAGTGCATCGGCTCTGAGTGAGTTCCTCCTTCCATTAGACTTGCCCCCCTTCCTACCTTAGCTCATTTTCCTCTTCTGTGCCCCAACCATACACCTCCTTCCATCTGCCACTTAGTCTAACATGCTGACAATTCTGTGACAGTTTCAGTCCTCTTAACCTCATTTGTGAGCGCCATGCTTGAAAAGCATACAAAACCACAAACCACAGATTTCTACTGGTATGACGATTGAAACATTGAAATTGGGAAGTTTACTGGATGCTTATGGTATGAACAGGCTATTGAAGCAACTGTTTTTTTGCTTCAACTCCATCTTGGACTACCACCCGGTAACGCGCTCGAGTGACTCCATTGGCTCAAATTGATTGTCAGTATCTCTCTCTTGCAAGTCCACAACACCTTCCCTAACGGCTTTCCATTGAGGACGTGGCAGGCATTTTTAATGATGCCCAGCTCAACGACGATAATACCATCTTGAAAAGCTCCACACACCATGCGAAGTCCCTGCCATACACACGCTCAGATAGGCAAGCTTCAGTCAGAGAGCTGCAGAGTGGGGATGACCGTATCACCTTTGGTAAGATATTCCCCTGCGTTACTTATTCATTTGTACCTTTCTCCCTTCCTCGACCTCTGTATTCCTTATTCCTCGCATATATTTAATATTTTGCTTCGCTAACTGCCCCCTTTCATTGCTCAGGTCCTGGTTTCATAACACCAACACAAGCCCCACCTCAATGATCCCTACCACCTTTCCTAGGTCCACCATACCCGCACCCGGCCACTTGCATTCCTTCGTCCATTGACTCACAAAAGAAATATTGCCATCATTCAATTCTCATAACGAACTCACCTACTCGTTGATCCAACATCAACTCTTTGCCAGTGGCTGCAGGTGGACCTCTCACATACATCGAGCCTCTCACCGGTTGCGCCCAGCTATGCGGCTTTCGGTCATTCTCATTTCCCAAAGCTTGCACAGTCTTCAGAGCTTCCCAATCACCTCAACCCTGACGCTCTATTTGTCGTTACATACATGGTATATGCACCACCCAATGGGAGGTCTTATCAGTGCCCCCCTAATTCCTGCAGGATTCCGGTCATTCCTGCGGATTCCGGTGGATTCCGGAGGAGTGAAATTTAGCAGGGAGGCCTGCTATTTTCATCATTCCGGTGGAATTTCGGCATTCCGGAATTGTGACCGGAATGGTCCCCGGATTGGCAAAAACGGAATGCAACCGGAATCCGGTTTGTTTGGCGCAAGCCCATTGCCAAACAATTGTTTATTTGGCAATGGCTTTCACGCTCATCCAAACACAACCCTCTCTCCTCCCACCACCACCGTCGTCGCTCCACGTAACCGCCTCCCTCACGTTGTGAGTGCCCGCCATGGGCTAAGCGATGTGAGGGGGCTCACATCGACCACCACGCCGCTCACCCGACATCCAACAACGTTGCCAACACCACAACGCTGTGCCACGTCACCACGGCACACAAACCAGGTAAGCACCCACAACCCCCTCTCCCCTCGTTTCTCAACACGAAAACCAGGTGCCACGTCGCTGACTGCGACGTGGCACCAAAACGACGGCAACAGGTCTGACACCCCACGACGGCACCACCCCAGCACTCCCGAAACAACGTTCAGCGCCCACACGAAACACGACAGCACCACCTCGCCCATGAAAACACCCCACCCAGCACCCACGATGGCCGCCCAGCACCCACGACAGTGCACAACGGCACACCGCGTCCACGAAAACTCCCCACCGCCCACGAAAACACCCCAGCGTATATGAAAACAACACGCCGCCCATGAAACGAAGCCCAGCACCCACGTACATCTCCAACGGACGCGAAACAACACCCCGCGGACACGAAACAGCACCCAGCGCCCACGTACACTGCCAGCGCCCACGTACACTGCCAGCGCCCACGAAACGACGCCCAGCGCCCATGCCAACGCCTAACGCCCACAATGCAACGCCCAGCGGACACGACGCCAACGAGGACGACAACATGCCAGGACGACGACACGCGAAAACGACGACACGACGCGATGACGCGTCAACAATGCGCGCCAACGAGACCACTCTCTCCCCCTCCCCTGCTGCTCACCACTCCTTCCTCTCCCTACTGCTCACCCCTACCCACCATCCCCTTCCCCCTCCCTTACTCCCCCTCCTTTCCTGCTCACCACTCCCTCCCTCTCCCTACCCCCTTCATTCCCTACCCCCTCCCTTCATTCCCTACCCC